TAGCCTAGTCATTGTGAGATGATATAATTACCTAACTAAATGGCTCTTCCTGACTTGGTTGAAGCTTAACATTTGGTTGACACACATTCTCTTTGTAAGTGGATTTAGCTTAATCCTACAAATTGGCTTTTAAGGTGAAAATTTCCCCTCAATTTATTTTATTCACATCTCTAGATGATGCCAGATCTCCAACACATTTAATCTCACTTATAAACAAAGGAAAATGAGGAATACACGAAAGAAATATGAAAAATATCCTGATTGTCACAACTTGACATTCTCCTGCAAGGACAAAAAAATGCAACTCTGCAGTTACACTGCAGATATGATCCAAATAAAATTCCTTATTAAATGTAATCTGTGGCTCGATTGCATCTAGGCCATTTGTAGTACTGCAAAAAGAAACTTTGCTGCACTGCTATTACTTGATATCCTTAGAAGTTATACTTATCTTTGGGATGAGGCTCTGCTGTCATGGATGACAGCTTAGAAAAGTAAGTTCAAAATCATACTCCGACATGTTCTGTATTTGCAGTGGTGTAATATTTATCCTTATTTGCTGTGTAACTACAGCAGTTGTAATTCTGTCTTTGTGGCAGAGGGTGAAGTTGGGGCAGTTTGGGAATCAAACTTGGACTGTTCAGTGAGAAAAGGGTGCTGGAATTGAGAGTGTATCATATTTTTAGTGAAGTCTTTAATTTAAACTGTAGATTTGGATCTAATTATTAAGATTACATCCTCTCATCTCTCACAATAAGCCGTACTCTTGCATGATAATCTCCCTATATATGTATGCATGCATATACATGTATGTTTGTGTATATAAATTAGAAAAGCGGTTATCCCATTCTCCTGCTATTCCACTTTTTGGGTCAGCAGCTTCGCTCCACAGCATGAGAATGACAACTATGCTGCATATGCTACCGAATCTTGACCTATGAAGCACAAATACAGACAAGTTACGAGTACAACACAAACATGGAGATATGACTAAATTGGAAAAACTGGGATACGGACACGGCATATGTATATATAACTAAATTGTTCTTTATTGATAAGATAATGATACTTTGACAATATTTTTTTGACAACATTTTAACACCATCTATGTGTCATTTTGTGATTGGTCCATGTTGGTGTTTATGATTATTATTATTGATTGTGGAGTAATTTTGAACCAATCACAGAATGACAGGTAGATGATGTTAAAATGTTGTTAAAAAAATATTGTCAAAGTATCATTATCCTTATTGATATATTTAACATATTGTGAAATTTAATTAATTATTACCAAATAATAACTTAATCAACTAATTTTATATAGAAAAAAATAATTATATACCAGTTTAAATATAAAAATTAATCGTAACTTCAATAGTTTCCAAAAAGAAATAAAAAAAACTATTAAACAACAACTAATTTGTTTTAAAAGGAAAAAAGTAAAATAAAAAATATAAGAATGGATAGATATCTATATATTAATTTAAATAATAGTTAATTGGAAATAAAATAAACTAGAAACATTCTAACAGATTTGGTAGTCTCACAACATAGAATTGTGATTCCAATTTTAGAAAAAGGAAAAAGAAATAGTAAAAAAAATTAAAATTAAGGTGGGAGTCATTCAACAGGTATCATAGTCATTTATAATGAGAGAAAAAGCAAGTGCCATGTCTAGCCGTGCTTGTAGAGTTAAAAAGCAATATTANAGAAATTGTTCTTCTATATTTTATGATTTATTTCCTTCTTTATATTTTATAGTTATTAGAATATCTTAATAGAATATGATATATAGGCATGTCTTATAATGTATACAAGAATAAAATCACCTATAATTATACTTGAGATTGAAACTATAAAGTAATTCTAGAGGGCTTGTAAGATCCCCCTCACTCTCATTCTATATATAAAAAAGTTACAAAATAGGGTAGTTCTAATACAATAATAATAAAAAATAGAGTAAATACTCTAACAATGATAAATAGGGTAAATATTCTAACAATGATAAATAAGATAAGTATTCTAACAATTATTTTACATTTATTTTAATTATATTATGTAAGATGAACTATGTTGTGTATACCATAGAAGCAGTTTCAACATCTCAAAGAAATCATTTCATGCAACAGAAGTGTTTAGCGTGTTGAATCCATTTAAAAGAGTTTTTGTTCATTTATTTGATTGCAGATTTAAGAAGGGTATGTGGAAGAGGACCATGCCAAAAGGCCTAAAAATGAAAAAGCTTATTGAAAGACCTGATGGAACACTTGTTCATGATACTTCTTATGTTGGAGAGGATGCATGGGAGGATGATCAAGAGGAGCGTGTAAAACAAATTATAGAGGATGATGAAAGGTTAAACAAAGAAGAGAAGAAAGAACTAACAAAAGGCTTGGGCATTTCAGGTTATCTTTGTAGAATTTTGTGTCTGTTACCATTTTACTTTTTACTTCAATTTGTTCTTTCTTTTTTTTGTCATTAGTTTTAGTTTATTTAAGTGAATTGAGAAGTTACGATGACTTGAAAATTAATTTTGTTCACTTTGATGTTTCATTTGATTCCTGCTTATAATTTATTTCACTGTTTCTTCTGCATTGAAATATAATTGTAATAACAGAATGCTTTATAATTTATTGCACTGTTTTTGCATGCAGGTGAGGTTCCATTTGAGGGTACATGGCGTGAAAGACTTCATAAATGGAGAGACATCCTTAGAAAAGAACGTTTTGCCGAACAATTAGATTCCTTAAATGCCAAATATGTAGTTGAATTTGACATGAAAGAGGTTGAACAGAGTCTTCGGAAGGATGTAGCAGAGAAGGTGACACCCACTCAGGATACTAGGGCTCTATGGATAGCTAAGAGGTGGTGGCGCTATCGGCCTAAACTTCCTTATACTTATTTCCTCAACAAGCTTGATAATTCTGAGGCAAGTTCCATTTCTATAATCATATTTCTGCTATGATTTATTTGCTCTTCCCCCTTGGATGTTCATGTATCACATTCCCATTAGTATGTATATTATTAATTAAAAATTGGTCGTGTTAATTTTGAGGAAGCATATGTATATATATTAAATTTAATGAATCAAATCCAATGATGAGTGTAGGCAGTTAGCATACCCAAGGTAATAAGGGGACGAGCATGTCTTATTCACCACTATTAACTATAGAATAGTTGTAGTTGATGAATATCTTAATATGTTGGAGATATCAAATTGACTAGTAATATGACCCAAATTGTCTATGATGAGTGCTGACAGCACACTCCATGCAACACACCTACCAAGTTCAATTGTTACTTTTACACGAGATCATGTGATCTCTAATGAGTGCAAAATAGCCATTTGTGGATCTTCTATCATTAGCATCTCGACCTCTATCCATATAAACAATTCCTTTACCAGGTAATCTTTTGATGTGTATCAAGATTTGAACCATGAAATTTTGCTAACTATCATGGGGTTTATTTAAAAATTGACTAACAACACAAACATGGGAGGCAATGTCTAGCCTAGTCATTGTGAGATGATATAATTACCTAACTAAATGGCTCTTCCTGACTTGGTTGAAGCTTAACATTTGGTTGACACACATTCTCTTTGTAAGTGGATTTAGCTTAATCCTACAAATTGGCTTTTAAGGTGAAAATTTCCCCTCAATTTATTTTATTCACATCTCTAGATGATGCCAGATCTCCAACACATTTAATCTCACTTATAAACAAAGGAAAATGAGGAATACACGAAAGAAATATGAAAAATATCCTGATTGTCACAACTTGACATTCTCCTGCAAGGACAAAAAAATGCAACTCTGCAGTTACACTGCAGATATGATCCAAATAAAATTCCTTATTAAATGTAATCTGTGGCTCGATTGCATCTAGGCCATTTGTAGTACTGCAAAAAGAAACTTTGCTGCACTGCTATTACTTGATATCCTTAGAAGTTATACTTATCTTTGGGATGAGGCTCTGCTGTCATGGATGACAGCTTAGAAAAGTAAGTTCAAAATCATACTCCGACATGTTCTGTATTTGCAGTGGTGTAATATTTATCCTTATTTGCTGTGTAACTACAGCAGTTGTAATTCTGTCTTTGTGGCAGAGGGTGAAGTTGGGGCAGTTTGGGAATCAAACTTGGACTGTTCAGTGAGAAAAGGGTGCTGGAATTGAGAGTGTATCATATTTTTAGTGAAGTCTTTAATTTAAACTGTAGATTTGGATCTAATTATTAAGATTACATCCTCTCATCTCTCACAATAAGCCGTACTCTTGCATGATAATCTCCCTATATATGTATGCATGCATATACATGTATGTTTGTGTATATAAATTAGAAAAGCGGTTATCCCATTCTCCTGCTATTCCACTTTTTGGGTCAGCAGCTTCGCTCCACAGCATGAGAATGACAACTATGCTGCATATGCTACCGAATCTTGACCTATGAAGCACAAATACAGACAAGTTACGAGTACAACACAAACATGGAGATATGACTAAATTGGAAAAACTGGGATACGGACACGGCATATGTATATATAACTAAATTGTTCTTTATTGATAAGATAATGATACTTTGACAATATTTTTTTGACAACATTTTAACACCATCTATGTGTCATTTTGTGATTGGTCCATGTTGGTGTTTATGATTATTATTATTGATTGTGGAGTAATTTTGAACCAATCACAGAATGACACGTAGATGATGTTAAAATGTTGTTAAAAAAATATTGTCAAAATATTATTATCCTTATTGATATATTTAACATATTGTGAAATTTAATTAATTATTACCAAATAATAACTTAATCAACTAATTTTATATAGAAAAAAATAATTATATACCAGTTTAAATATAAAAATTAATCGTAACTTCAATAGTTTCCAAAAAGAAATAAAAAAAACTATTAAACAACAACTAATTTGTTTTAAAAGGAAAAAAGTAAAATAAAAAATATAAGAATGGATAGATATCTATATATTAATTTAAATAATAGTTAATTGGAAATAAAATAAACTAGAAACATTCTAACAGATTTGGTAGTCTCACAACATAGAATTGTGATTCCAATTTTAGAAAAAGGAAAAAGAAATAGTAAAAAAAATTAAAATTAAGGTGGGAGTCATTCAACAGGTATCATAGTCATTTATAATGAGAGAAAAAGCAAGTGCCATGTCTAGCCGTGCTTGTAGAGTTAAAAAGCAATATTATATCATCATATTAGAATATTAACTATGCATCGACTCTTGAAACATTTTCACTCTGTATATTGACTTACTGTTCATCTTCTACATAGCCTCTCTGGTTTTGCACACTTTTTCTCTCCTCTGTACACAGTCTCTTCTCCATATCTGTGTGATTTCTTCATTTCTATTACTACTTGCCTCACTTGGCTTACTAATCTTTCATTTCATATACTAAACTCACACATTATAGAATCATTGGCAACTGAGTTGAATTGCAAATCACATGATTTAATTCCGATTCAAACTCCAATATGCGTGTCCTAAGATTTGACTGTGTTTGACCTGATGCACCGTGTCAGACACAGGGTGTCGTATGCGTGCTTGTGTCGCAAACACTTCTGAAGCAGGGAAGTGCAGCAGGGAAGCAGGATGGAGCCGTATCCAAGCTTCATAGACCTTGACTAGCATGATAGTCATTTATTAGAAATCTTTGAAGCTCAGACATGCCTCTTTAATGGTGTGTCCCTACGTCTGACATGTATTAAACATTGACAAGTGTATGACACATACCAAACACTCTGCTGAAATGCCTAGTTTTAGAAAAAAAAATAAATTTGGGCTCTGATATGGCTTTAACACAATGTTAATGAGGGTAGACCCGATGATTTGTTTTATAAGTTAAAATTTTAGAATAAGTTTCTATTACAATTGTAGAAATAAGGAACATATCCCATATAATCATGGACATTTAGATTGTTATGTATTATTAGGAATGTTTTTATCTATTCTCCTATCATATCTTCATATAATGTGGAAATGTTTTTATCTATTCTCCTATCATATCTTCATATAATGTGGAATTATTTTAAGTTGTTAATTTGTCTTTATATGAATCTCGGATAGAGTGTTTTTTTTTTTCAATGATGATGATAATCAAGAAATGGGTGAAATGTCTTAAATCAGTTAGATTTTTTCTTCACTTTTTGGACTTTAGATTAATGGACTAGATTCTTTTTTGTGCTTGGTAACAATATGTTCAAATAATATTTGACTAAGTTTTTCTATAGATGATTTTGAATATATAAATCTTGATTATCAATGTTCACTTATATATATGTGTGTCTATGTCTAATTCATGCTCTCAAAACCGGCTTGTAAGTTAAGTTTTGCATCCTCTTATATACGGTAAACAGACATTATTTCTGGCTAATGTGAGATCTCCATAAAAAACTTTAAAACTTATGAATGTAACAGGTTGGTGATTAACGTCACCTATATTAGAAATTGATACAATTCTGGTTAATGAAGATTCATGTGGTTGACCCTAAATTTCTAATTCATCTTGATGTTTGATGATATGATGGCAATGCAACTTTTGGAATTAAATTAGTAAGTAGGGGCTATAAATATGAATGTTGTAGTACAGCCTCTCTGTTTTTCTTACTATGATGTGAA